GTGTGATAGGCATTTAAAATATTCACATATAGACCTATTTTTTTCTTTATTCTTTTGTTAAAGTGAGAAGCAATAGAAAATAATTAAGTTTACGAATATGATGTAATTTAATTGGTTGATTGTCACATATTTCACAATTGGCTAATAATAACGTGTTATTCAATTTCATGTGACGACCAATCACGAGAAAGTTATCCTATATGAGCTAAATCGCCCACTTTTTTTGAAAAATTTGGATATTCAGCAAAAGGCGAAAGAGGAGGAAAGATCCATTGTACCAACCAAAGGAGTGTATATTCTTTTATTAAAATCACCAGCAATCCAGACCTATCCATGCACAGTACTAAGTTTTTTCAGTGAGTAATAAACTCTAAGCTTGTCGGCAAGTAGCGTATGAAAACTACTTCTAAACGACAAGTGCTGTGTCTGCAGTAAGTTTATTACAACCTTTCTAATATTAATTATTATAGTTTTTCTACTAGATACTTTTCTTTAAAATCAAAAACATAGCTTATAACTATTATTGAAGACTAGATAATAATTGGTAAAGCAAGAAGACAGCCTACCTCAACTGGTCTTATTCTTATAACACACTGGTAATGCTCTTTTTAGTTACAATTTACCAAACTATATCCAACACCTCCTATTAATATTAAGCCATATTTTGGTTGCTCTTATAATTGCAAACTTATTATCAATAAATATATACTATTTATTCCAATTAGTTTAGCATCCAAATTCTTTTATATTTACAATTTAATTAATAAAACTATTAAACTCTATACTAACTTTTAGAACTAATATACTTTATTGCTATTTGTCATCCTCTTTATATTTTGCCTACTTCTAATCTTCTTTATAATATTGCTTTAATTCTATCTATTTTTGAATCTAGATCCTCTACTAATACTTTTTAAACTATTGCAAACTCCAATATTCAGCTCTCTGAAATCTCTTTCTATACAGATGGCTCTGTACTTGATCTAATTCACCAAATTGTTCAATGGGTATTAGATGAGTACAAATTTATTAAAAGAATATATTATATAGATTTTAAGCATAAATCAAATATTGGTCTTGTTTCTTCAAAGCAGAAATTGTTGTTATACTTTTAGAATTATTATAACTCCTAGATTTTGTACTGTTTATATCTTTACTAATTTACAATTAGTTATCTCCAAATATAATAGCCTTAAACAAATTTCATATTCCTTATCTTCTATAAATTTCTTATATTTTATGCTCTGATATATTCTCATTAATTTCATTAAAGCATACAATCTTCAAATTATTTTTCACAAAGTTAATGCACACCAATAAGACCAATTCAATAATCTGGCTAATTAACTAACTTGATGTTATCTTACTTCTATTATCTTATTTTTAAACCTTATAATATTTATAATCTTAATTTTACTCTTCAGTTTAATAAATATCTCCTAAAACTACCAATTTAATGCACTATTTGTACTATCTGCTATATACACATCTATACTTTGTGATCATCTCAAAACAGATTTCAACAATAGTTACAAATTACTGATTATATTAACTAGTCTGCTACATGACTTTATATAAACAATAACTAAAAAATTACAAATTTCTTATATAGTTTTCAATCTTCTACTCTCAAATTATTCCAAGTCAAAATTCTTCTTGATGAGCTTTCTACTTTTTATACACTATATTAACACAAACACCAAACCTCACCAAATTGTTATCAATACAACCAAACTAATACCTTACTATATTGAATTACCTGTCTATTATCAGCACTGCTTTATAATCTTATTGATAATTCTTTACAACAGATTATTAACTCTATATTTCTAGATATTATATTAGAATTAGTTACTACACTTTATAACCAAATTAAAAACCTTGATAGCATGATATTCTATTATAATAACCATATTCTATCTATCTACTCTACTCTATTAGGTCTAGTACCTCTCGATATTATATACCTGCTCAAAGATATTATATTATTCACCAAATCAGCTTTTACAATTATTATAAAATTTCTTTTATATCTTAATTTACAAATTTATTATAATATTTGGATACCTTATTACATCTCTCGTTCCTCGAATATATTCTGTAATAACACTTCATCTTCTTTATCTCCTGTCTCATCCCCTATATCTTCTTCATATTCTCAATCTTTATCTCTTACTTTAGCTAGCAACAAATTAATACTTGGAAATCCTTTATAGATTAAATACCAAACAAGTTTAACTTATATAATTACTAATTCTCAAATCTAAGTAAGCCATGGTCATCCTAGTTGGTGTAAGCTACAGATAAACTAATCTGAATTTCTTTTCTTATTATCTTAGAATATAAAGTTTAAATGTATTCTTTTTATTGTAAGAGAATCAAATTAAATTTCAATAAAGATAAAGACATGGTCTTACTATTAACATTCAAAAAAAAAAAGAATCTTAAGAATTTATTGAAAAATTTAATGCAATATATTAGCATATTTTAAATATTTTTAATTATTAAATATATAGCTATAAACCAAAATAAATTTAATGATTACTACTTTTAATGCTTCAATTAATAATATACTAAAATATTATACTATATAAATAAATGCTCAATTTATAGTATTAAATTTGAATTGGCTTTTACACTGTATAAAATATATAGTAAATAAATAAAAAGCAATATTAATTATCAAATATATATAGCTCTGCTAAAAATAGAACTTCGGGCTTTCAATTATATTTTGTATCAGGCACAATCTAATTTATTAAAAATTGTGTCTGGTAAAAAATATAATTAAAAGCCCGAAGTTCGATTTTCTCTTGGTAATCAATTCAATTCTAAATTTTCTGTCTATTGTGTACCAGTTCTGTGTAACATTTACGACCAATAAATTTGCGCAGATTCTAGATTTACTAAAAATGCATCAAGAACGCCACTTAGATTCAGAGGTAATTTGAGCATATCAAAAAAATAACCGCAGGGGTATCAAAATTGAAACTTTTGCATCTAGGAGGATCATTTGGCAATAACGTGATATGGCGCATTGTAGAACATTCGAATAAGCTTTTTTGGCTTTATGTTATGTTTTCGGTTAGGGTTCGTGGTTCGTGGTTATACGCCTTGAAAAATCATTCCAATATATAAAATTACGCTTCTGACATTTTTCGAGTATTTTCGCTTTTTTCTCTTTTTTTTTGTTTTGACGTCGGGCTAATCCAGTACAATCAAAGTCTTTTCTCATGCGCCACTCTTGGGTGGATAGATTAGCGGAGAAACAAAAATTCAGTAGATCGGCCCGAATTATGGCACCGGCGTTGATTAATTTTGCCCAAGATCACAAAATTTTACTAATGAAACCAAAGCCACTCACTAAGTAAAGTTGCCCAGATAATAATTTTGGTGTACAGTAATACAAGTAGTTGTTGTTATTTCTTAATGCCGGCCTAATCCATAATTCGGGCCGATCTGCTGAATTTTTGTTTCTCCGCTAATCTATCCGTCTCGGGTATTGGCCCATATCGATATGGCTTGTAGATTAAATAATTTCTATAAATAGCAAACATGTATTGTAATTTAATAAAGCGCCAGCGTGACCGTCTAAGGGTGAAAAAAAAAAATTCGGTTATCCGGATAACCTGAAGGTTACCGGTTATAATACAACCACTCCGTTATTTTAGATTAAAGTTTCTACTCCGGTCAGCTCCAAACCTGCTCCAAACCTGCTCCGGGTAGTTTCAAATTTATAACCATATTTATAAACCCACTCCAATGTGAGTTCAACCGGAGTGGCATCGGTGTATGTCACTCCAGCCCTAAAATATGTCTTATACCGGATTTTTCCTTGATGGCACTATATTGATAGATATCAATGAAGTAGACGGACCAATCAGGGTTGAGGTTAAAGATACTGGTAAAATTAATGGTGGAAATAATTTCACACGTGAAATTAATTTCACTATTAAAGCTCTATTACTGCATTAGAGTTCGAAACCGGTTTTATTTTTCATATATTAAAACCGATTAAACCTGGCTTTAACATATGAAAAATAAAATCAGTTCCAACTCTAAGCTCTATTTTAAGATACTATTCATATATATATGATGTGTAATATATTTTATATTTTATTAGTTAAAAGATTGCACCACACCAGGCATTGTATAATTAAAATCCTGATTGTTTCGATTCTTGATTTTGAAATGTAACTGACCGCATTGCGACTGTGACAAGAAAGAAAACTTAAATTTTTTTCTAATTACTATAAATGGAATTTATTAATAAACATAAAAACTAATTAAAAAAAGACCATATATATATATATATATAGAACGCTAGAAACCATTAGTTATCAGTTCTCATAATTCACTTATGAACATCTAAATAAATAATTAAATTTATCTGGTATGAGTCTATGAAATTAATCAATCAACAAGATGTAATTATTACATTAAAACTTCGTTGTGGCAACTTGTTTTTAATTCCTTGTTTGGCAGCACAATACAGTTACGTATAATGATTTCGTCTTTAACAGTAACTTCCTTGGCTATATGCAAAGAACATTTTATTAATATATTTAAACAATTAAAAAATCATCTTCAAACTATAAATCCATACCAAGAATAGAAATTGATTGAATTTTAACACCGTTCTGTGTAACAGTTGTTGAATGATCCGTCGTCGGTGTACCCTCAACACGAGACCAGTTTCCAATCTTTGAATCCCATCCGATAATGCTGTACAAAACACAACCATTGTTTTTAATATCTGCATTATCCAAGATAATTGAATCCTTGATGCGAACACCCTTTCCAATGACTACACGAGGGCCAATAGTCACATTTGGGCCAATCTAATAAATAAATCTTTGTAATTAAAGTAATGTATAACACTTAAATTATGGTCATAAATCAATTCACAAACCTTAGCAGTGGGATCGATAGTGGCGGTGGGATGTTTATAGACAAGCCCGACTACAGTAGGACCATCCGGCACATTTTTTAATAATCGATCAGGATCTGTTTTTTGATATTGTTCAAGATATAACGCATTTGCAGGAACAGCTGAACTATACAGAAGAATCGTGAGATAATCACCATCAAATGATTTAAGTGAGAGTTATTTAGAAACTTTGAATACCTGGGAGTTTTAATTTGAATCCAAGTATCAGTTGTTTCATATACAAATAATTTACTTGATTCTGCTAAAGGTCGGAGTATATCCTGTTCTAAGCGAAGTTTATCATCTTGCATCTGAAATTGATCTCGACTATTAATTGACCAATTTAAATTTTTTTATTAAGGATGGAACTCAAAACACTTATTTGTATTCGTGTGCTTGAAAAAAAAGGATACTCGACTCGATTGGCCTTATTTTGCATTGCCTTTTTCATTTCAGTAAAAATAGCACAATCGAACAAATAAATACCGCAACTAATTAAATTAGATATAAAACTTTCAGGTTTTTCTACATAATGCAAAACTTCGTGATTTTCTGGTTTCTCAACTAGACATCCAAATCTATTAGCAACTTCACGAGCAACCTAAATAAATCAAATCAATTAATAGATTACACATAATTAGACTTGGATCATTAAGACTTTACCTTAGTTCCTAATATCGTACATAATCCTCTATGCGTATTATGAAATTTAATCATTTCGTTTAGGGGGAAGTTGCACGCTACATCAGCATTAAGAACGAATATTTGGCGCGGGTCGTTTCTTTGAATTTCATCCCGAAAATGATATAGACCTCCAGCTGTCCCCAAAGTCTGGTATTCGCGTAAATAACTATATAAGAGGGAAAAAAAAAGTTTGCAAGTAGGTATTTGATAACATAAGAACCGCAATCCAATAGTATCATACCGAACATAAATCTGTGGGAAATCTCTAGCTGCATCGTCTATAAACCTTTGAAAAACCGAATCCTCATAAAATCCAATCAATAGGACTTCTTTCAACCCTTCAACCTTAGATAAGGCATCCAAATGGTGCCAAATAACTGGATGACCGGCGATTGGAAATAAAGGCTTCGGTACATTCAAAGAAAGCGGTCGAAAACGCGTACCACGAGAAGGTCCGCCTACGAGAATGACGGCTTTGTATATCATTTTATTATGTAGCAGTTAACTCTGACCTGTATTAACGTTTCGATATATTGCGAATTAAGATTGGAAATGGCTCCTTTTAATTGGCTGATGCATATTGCATGTTAAAAAACAGTACCATTACACAAACTTTTTATATTGTTTACAATAAAAATTAAAAATCCCTCCTAATTTACGACTCATTCTCCCATTGGACGGTGATACAGTGTAGGACATCTTTGTTAAACATCATATATAGTTGCTATATCTCAAAAACTACATATATAGTTAAATAACCCAAAAACCTCATCTTAACTAAAATCCAAACCTATTTTTTTACTATAATTTAGGGTTTTCAACCCTAGTCAAACTATATATTAAAAAATATATATATGTAATAAGCAAAATTTGAGAATTTGGTTTGGTGGTTGTCGAGATATCTTCGGTTAAAGTTTGTCAAATAAATTAAACCAAATTAAATGAAAACTTTTTTATTTTGATTCTACAAGTATATTTAATCCAAAAAATAAAAAAATTTCATTGAGTTTGGTTTGGTAATTTTGAGATATCTTTGTTTAAAGTTCGTCAATAAACTAAATAGTCTATTCAAATCGTAGTAAATTTTTTTTTTTTTGATATCTCTACAGCTGATGGATGGGTAGGAAAAAACATTGATTTACATACCGTTCCTGATAGGGTTCTACGTAAAAGAGACTCTAAATCACTATACTACTATATATAGTGAAATATATGGGATTAGGGTTCAATTTTAGAAATAAATTTTTTTTTAACGATCTATCAGGAACAAGGGTAGTAAAATTAGAGGTCATTTGCCTTTGTTTCAAATGACCTAGGTCATTTCGGACTAAAATTCATAATAAAATTGGAGTCATTTGAGGTCGTTTAAAGGTCATTTGAAGGTCATTTACCATCCCTGATCAGGAATAGTAATTTTGCAAAATAAAAAAAAAGTTTCATCAAATTTTTGGCAAATAAAACTCGCTCTCGTTATAGTGAACTCTCGATATACCGGTAGTCGATAGTGGAGAATTTTGAATTACAGAATTATTAAACTTCAACTCGATATAGTGAAGTACATATAGTATTCTCTCGATATAAGCCATAATGAAGATTTATTTTTTCAGCCGACGACTTCACTATAACGAGACCTTTTTTTTCTACGTAGCACATATTGTTATTATAAAAACAAAATCTCCAGAATCAGTTTAGCTTTTTACAAATTATATAAAAATGGAATGTTTGCAGGCACAAGAATTTGAATTTTAATGCGACAAAGAATGAAATATAGTTGAAATTAAAATTATCGAAATAATATTTGTCCGAGTTTAATTAATCGTGGCTGGTGTAACTCCGAAATGTGTTTCTTGCCAGATTTAAATTTTATATATATTACAGCATTATTGATGTAAAAATTGATACCCTTCCATGCTTTTCTACGTCCCTGCACAGATGTACGTACGTACCCGCGCAAAACGCACTAAATAGAGTCTTTGCAGGGTCTAAATGTTATATATAATATATATATAGCATTTAGGCCTTTTCTACTGCAAAGACTCTAAATAGCTGAATAGATTCGGTTGTCCCCGATTACTTAAAAGAATCGCGTGTAACCTCATCGATGTTACACTTGAGTAAAAGATTTATCTATCAGTTTTGTTTTTTTTTAATACCTTCAGATTGTTCGCATAGCGATATTGAAAGTTGTTAAATCACAAAATGGCTGATTATACCAATTTTACTCATCCTCAAATTCGAGGCAAGCATTGCATTAATAGATTTCAATTGCCGATATTCTATTTATCTATGTCAAGACCTTTTCAATTTTTTTTTTACCATCAGATGGATGGTTCCGAGAAAAACCATTACTATGGGACGGCCAAGGTATTCTGCTCGCATGCAATTTTATCCAACATGCAAATGCTCATCAATGTCTTTTTTTAACTTAGAAATGGGTTTGGAAATCGACAAAATTCTTCATCACGAACAATCTCCATACCAAGATATTTTAATATTTAAATCCAAAACTTACGGAAATGTGCTAGCATTAGATGGCGTGGTTCAATGCACTGAACGGGATGAATTTTCGTATGTTTATGCAAATATCTGACTTCTCGTTACCTCAAAAATTTGATTTGATTATGTTTATAAAATAGCTACCAAGAAATGATTACTCACCTTCCGATGATGTGTCACCCAAATCCTCAAAAAGTTTGTTAAATACTTTTGTGGATCTCTTGCAATATAATTAACACCTATTCTAAATCAATTGATTGATAATACATTTTACTAATGGTGTTACCATACTGCAAGAGATCCACTTTTGTTATAATCCTTTTACTTCGTCCTAAAATTCTCATTGGCACATTAATATGTAAAACAGGTTCTTGTAATTGGCGGTGGTGATGGTGGGGTTCTTCGTGAAGTCGTTAAACACGATAGTGTTGAAGAAGTTGTTTTATGTGAAATTGATGAGGTTATTATTATCATATTTTCGCCATTCAACCTTGAAAACGTACTTTAATATATTACGTATGTGCATGTAGGCGGTAATTCGCTCATCCAAAAAGTATTTACCCGGAATGGCAACTGGTTTTGATAACCCCAAAGTTAAAGTTCATATTGGCGATGGGTTTCCTTTTTTGGAAGATAAAATTAATTATTTCGACATTATAATTACTGATTCGTCGGATCCTGTTGGTAAGTATTTTATTGAGCTATCGCCAATGGTAACGTCTAATCTAATTATATACTTTAATATTTAGGTCCTGCTGAATCCTTATTTAAACCTAAATATTATGAACTTATGAAAAATGCATTGCGTCCTGGTGGTGTTGTTTCTGCTCAAGGTAGTTTTTTTTTTTATTGTCTTTCGCATCTTTACAACAATACCCTAGCCAATTGTATATTTTTTTTCATTGTAATTTATTAAAGGCGAATGTCAATGGCTTCACCTTCCCTTGATTTCCGAAGTTCAAAATCATTGTCGTCAAGTATTTTCAGTAGTTGAATATGCTTATACCACAATCCCAACCTATCCATCAGGTCAAATTGGTATATTATTATGTAGCAATGACCCATCTCGTAATTTGAAAAAACCGATCAGAAAATGGCCAGAAGAAAAAGAAGAAAAATTATTTAGATATTATAATTCGGAAATTCATGAAGCTGCTTTTATTTTGCCTCAATTTACAAAGAGCGCATTGAAAGAAGCAGAGAACAAAAGTTAAATACTGTTGAACCTCTCAAAACCGATATGCATGGTGGACAGATTTTGTGTCAGCATTGAGAGGTTATCAGATTTGAAAGTTTTATAAACCATCGGATTTTTTTATATGCAGAAACAAACTTTGTCGATTAATTTTTTATCATATTTAATAGGTTATCGGTTCTGAGAGGTTCAACAGTAGTCGGAAATTTTGTGTTTAGTAATTTATCATGATTAATTTTTTTTCGATATGTGCAAATAAAATTGGCATCCATCTTGTGGCTTAGAAAAAGATTTATTTGCTTGCTGTCACTAGGATGGCTCGGACCAAATTTGATGATACCCGGTACAATGCTCTGTTCTTTTAGCCTAATGTTACATAGTGTTAGCATTAAACGGGACTTAAAAGGTATATTGATATGTAAAATTAGACGTTAAACATTTAGAAGCTCCACGTTAATTTCCATAAATAGATTTGTATAGAGATACGTAGCGATAGATAAAATATTTTGGCTTGTAAAAAACCAACCAATGCATCTATCTGGGGTTTCATTTCGGGCAGGGACCTGCGAAATCTGTGATATAATTTAGTAAATTGTGTTTTCGATATCAGTTAATTAATATTATCGTGCAAACTCTTATGATCATAGATTTTTTCATCTTGTTATTTTTTGTACGTTATTACGTAAGCACAACAATCCCGAATTAAAACTCAGTTAGCCAACCACGACTCGGA